TTCACGATCTTCAAATAATCATAGTTTAAAGTATTAGCGTAGTTTTTGACAACAACTATTATTCATACTTTAAATCCAAAAAATATTGCATTGATGAATTTCTCCCCTCTGTTTCTTCAAATCAAAATCATGCTTCTTTGAAGCAAGGATTTGCTCACTTAGCATAAGTGATGTCCATATGGGCGATTGAGTGCAAAACGCGCGCGGTAGCCTGTAAGTCCGAGGTCCGCCTGGCCAAGCAGAAAGGTATGAAGTTCCCTGTTGTTGGGGCTGAGTGTACTGCCGAGAGGGCTTAGTCTTCGGATTCCTGAGCGGTTTTCGAGGCCGTCTGTACCCATGGCCAAGACAAATAATAGAGGTGAGTAGAAAGGCCCTGGCTACTGGGCTTTGCCTCGTTCTCAAGCCGCATTCCGTGTGGTAGTCGTCCCGCCGACTACAATGAGCCTTTTCCGCCTCCTTCAAATTGATTTCTGGCGTCGGACCTAACCTGCGGGATTTACCGTTCGGACTTGACAAATTCAACATGTCATTCATCGTCAAATGATATTAAATCTAAACGTTAATGATTTACATAACGTTTTACATGTTAAATAACAATAAAACAAAATAGTCACCTCGACATTGTCGAAAAATATCGAAAAATTCCCATACGCATTATTTTGTCAAATTGCTCTGGACAGTGCCAGAGTCAAAGAACTGTATTAAATAATCGTTGCGTGTTAAATTTGAAACATTTAATTTACATTGTTTCATATAACATTTTGAAAACTATGTTAGGTTGTTTCTTGGAGAAAATAAAGCAGATCTCCAGAATATCAAGAATACCAGACGTCAGAAGGACCATGGATTTTCTTATTGAAACAACTTACTATCCAATTCCATGCGGCAGATGAGTAGATTTACGTTGAAAGCATGAAAAATAACTCAATAAAATAAATAGCTCCAGTTTGACAAGATTGGTTGGTCAGTTATAACCTTTTAGGCACAATTGTAATAATAAGATGCCTTATTTAAGAATATTTACAAATTTACGTAGTAAAAAAAGAAAAAATATATGAAATCATATACGGCTTGCATATCCGCCAGCCGGAAAGTGAATAATAATTACTGACAAAAATACAGAAAAAACTAACGAAAAGATAGCGTCATGTTATATTATATACAAAAAGAATTACCTTATGACCTTACGTTTAATTAAAAATTTATATTGAACTGACATTGCCGTCAAATATTGAAGACATAGTTAAACTAAAAACATGAAAGAATGTTTAATGTGATAAACACTAATGTAAGATAAAAATGAATAATTAAATTCATTAACTGAATAATCTTTGTATAATAATCTATAATCTGCACAATTTACAAAATTCAAACTATCTACACTGTTCAGCATTTCTTTTAATTTCGTTTCTGTTAAAGAACGGACACTACATCCTCAGGGTGCCGGTGTTTAAAAAAAAATTGTAAGTATGTAGGGTTCGAATGCAGGGCCGCTGGATTCGAACCCGGGACCTTTACCTTACAGTGATGGTGTCAACGCCTAAACCGTTGCGGCCACCGACGCCCCCTAAGTTCATTCGTGAATGGAAATAACTTACAATCCATGTCCAGGTGTTTAAGGTGAACCTACTTGATTCTCTAGCATTCGCCAAAGATTCTTTCCGATTTATTATAGTATCAACATAAAAATTCACTAAATTGTGTATACGCATGTTGAATTTTCTTCTGTGGTATTTTGGCCTAACTAAAAAACTTTGATTTAGTTTTTGATGTACTAATGCTTCGTGAACTTGATATCTCGATTAGGCATTAGGCAACATATTCTTCCACTCAAGCTAACTAGTACTTATAATTTTTTTGAAGCTTGATATTAGAAATGTATTCACCGCGATATTTATTACTTCATATTAATCACAATCTAATTTTATTGCTCGTCTTTAACCGTTTCTTCCAAATTTTAATATTACGCAGAACTTGATATTTTCAAATATTGTTGATTGAATAACCTTCGGTTGTTTATTGGATCGGATACGTGGTTATTACCCGTCAATGGTTAATAATCTGCGGTTGTAAGAGATTGGGATGTTTCATGCTCAGTTAAGGCGCATCAAAAGTTAATTATTTCTGCCTGTTGGTACCGGAAGGCTTTTGATAGTGTTTTTATTTATGGAATCACTAAGGTGTTTCTTGCCTTTATTACTATGGCTACTTAAACTAAAAAACATATATTTTTATAAGCAGTTTATGTGAATGAAGACAAATGCAAACTGATATGTCCCTGGAGCATATATTAGTTCATATTATTTAAACAAATGTTTGTTGAAATTACTTCCTTTTTCAGTGAAATTCTGTAACAAAGGGTTTTTTTCCGTTTATAATACCTAGATAAGATATTCTGGGTGATGTTAAAATAATAAATTAATAAACTGTAAATATAATCTCTAGAGGTAATGCAACATTAAAATATTTAATCCAGGTTGTATATAAATAGATTTCGAAATCACAATCGCAGCAGATAGGAAAAAGTGTCATAAATATAAAATCAGGATTTTATCCGATTGTTGGGAAGTTATAGTTGGCCCGTTCACAGCTTTCTCGATCTGGAGAAACAAACTAAAATATTTTCCTTTCTAAATATCAACCCGGCGACTGTAACGCCGGGTTAAGAAAGTATGCCTGGCATGCTTTGCAAGAGACATCGTGGTTCTATCTGAAAGATAAATTATTCCCAATTTTCCCTTCTAAATTCTCCAAACGCATTTTTGCCGTATGATAGTCTTGTGATAAGAAAGTTCCCCTTGTGGGAAGAAAAGAGCGAAGAATTCCTCTTAAGAACAAAATGAAAAGCGGCTAGGGTATAAAGACGTTTTCTTCGTGAACAATAGCTTTTAAAAAGCCTTTTTTTCATGGTTTTCTCTATTTTAATAGTAACTCGCCTAATTTCCCCTGCCTTTTTTTTCATTCTCTTTCTTCTTCTTTTTCGATGATCTTCTCCAAGGGATCGCCGTTGATGTTTTTAGGACGGTGGAATGCCAGAGTCTCTGGAATGCGGTCTCTCAGCCTGTCCCCTCCTCCACCTATCATTCCTTATCTTTATCCACTCTCCTTTATATATGGGATTTTTGTTTTGGCCCCCTCGCGTATCCAGGTAGCTCTTACCTAGTCATTAACCACTCACAAACACCTACCTCGACTTTTTATAATTGCCCTCCGGCTAATACCATCAATAAATTATTTTGAGAAACCTCTTTAACTTGTAAGCAACGAGGGGTTAAATGGACCAGGCCCCCCGGTGGAAATAAATCAGCGGTCTAAAGGAAACAAAAGATTATTACCTTTTAGTTCTACTCGGTTATTAGAGATTTATGTATATTACTTTTTTGGACGTTCTTATGCCGGCTACTGTAATTAAGAAAGCTGGGGGGCGAAATTGAATCGTACGATACGACCCGGCTTTAAACAAACAATTTTAATCACTTGAACAGACTGTTGTATTGACCTGTTTGCAAGATCATTCCGTAAGAGAGCAATTAATTTTGCTTCCTTTCGCACACGAGAGGATGGCCATCGGTCTTGATCCACCGATTGCGTACGCTCAACTGTAACACGATCCACCGTCTGAACATGGAAAAATTGTAATCATGTAATGATAACTCTAGAAGGCCCTACGAAAAATATTATCAAGCACACACATGTTACAAATAAATGCACTCATTTTACTAATTTTTACTAATATGATGTTATGAATTCGTACAACATGCCTTTTGAAAGGTTTTCTAGCGATGAACCTCTTCTGGTCTCTTATCCATGATGTCCCGGTGGCTGCCAACGTTCAAATTTTTATCCCTGAAATGTTCAAGAACACGTATTGGCGTGGAAAATTTATACTTAAGTAATTGGATTCTAGTTTAGCAATTTATCGATTAACAGGTTATCATTATTAGAATGCTCGTACACATAAGTATCGTCTGACCCCGCGAAATTGCATAACCCAACCAACTTTATCGATGTTCGCCTTGAATTTGCTTATAGTACGTGCTTAAATTATCCACTGCACACAATTGACTGTAAAATATCCAAGGTACGACCTGCCAAAATTTTCTTGATTTTACAACCCATTAGCTGTACTCTGAGTGATCTGCGCTCATCTTTTCAAGGTTACTTTAAATTTTACATCAACACTTTTGAAGTTTGAAGCGTGAACGATGATTAATGGTTTTAAATCAAATCTTCATTTTATATCAGTGAACCTTTTCCCGTGGTTTACTTAAAAATTACAATCAGCGTAACTGCCAACGCGTTCCAATATTTCGGATATTTTATAACTGTTAGCATTTCATCACTTTTAATTGGTGTGTGCTATGTACAAATATTTTCCTTTCTAATTACCATTTGTCACTTGTTGAACTTGTTAAAATTATTTTTTAATTTTAATTGTCGTAATATATTTTTCCGTTGAATAATTATACACTCCACGTCTATCGTAAGTGCAATCAAGTCCAAATGTTTATCATGATACGGCCAAGGTAAATCGTGCATAAATTATACAAACATTTCTGTGACAATCTATACTAATAGGCTTCTATCGATAGACATTCGATATAAAAATTTAATTACAAAAATTGTTAATGATTAAAATATTATGTTAATATAGCTATGGAATCAAACTATTCGTGCTATAGAATTGTTTTTATTATTTAGCAAATTGTCTGGAAATTGTACATATATAAATAATGATCAATGATGGAATAACTGTTCAAATTTACGCTTAATGAAATTATTGTTTTGGTGTGTAGTAAATCTGTTTAGGCTAAATAAGGTAGTTAACATTTGTGCGGAGTAATCAAAGAGGAACTGCTTGTTTGCGAATTCTTTTATGCAAGGATAGGGATTGAAAATAACGTATCTGGCAACTTTTTCACCCTCAAAAGAGCTGATGCTTTATTTCGTTAAAGCAGCATGACAGTTGATTTTTCATCTTGGTAATATTTCTGTTTCAGAAGGAGAATACATATTCGTGGAGCCGGACTACAAGTTATCCAAGTATGCGCCGAAAAGCTGGCGTTCGTCGTCGTCTAACGTAAGTAAAAGGCGGACTTTCGTCGCAAAAAGCTGTTTTATGCCAGTTTGTCCTCTTCTTCGCCCCTCCAAGTTCGTTTCAATGAGCCAGCAGAACTCGTATCCGTCGCCAGGTGTGAGCAAAGAATTGTGAATGAAATCAGGTTTGGGCTTGAAGTCCTAGGACGTAAAAAGCGCGAACCAGTTGCTCCGATTTCCACAACTCGCCCTCTCGCCATTATTCATTTTTCATTCTGGAGGTCTTTCAGTTTTCATCTACATATTAAATATTCTTCTTTTTACTTGTTTCAAAAGTATAGCTATTTAAAGTAAAGATAAGTCAATAATTATTCACCGAAAAAAATCTCGGTGACGGGATAATACAAGGGAATAATTGATCGATCATATCTTTCCAAAGTCTAACAAACGTTCTTCCAATTTGCCGTTGCAATTGTCTATAAACCAACAAACAATACAACTTAGATAAAAACAACAAACGTGAACAAAAAGATTGATATTATAACTTTGAATGAGCTTAATGGGCTGACAAACAGTTTTTATATAGCATATTCATACTTTCCCACAGAAAACATTATCTAAAAATCATTCTATTCAGTATTATGTGCAAATATCCATGATAAAATTTGAGGTCCGATTTCCGCTTTTACTGCAGAATAGCCATTTTCAAATTTCGACGGCTATTATACTGCCTCATATTTTTTAAAGCAATTTTTGTCAACCAATTATTTGCGGTACGCCAATGCGCCAAGTCGTGTGCTTCATGCCGATAGCCCCGATTACTACAAAGCGGGACAAAGCAGAAAGCGGTTCCGGTCATCTACGCCGCTAAACGGCCGGAATTCGATCGAAATCCAATTTTTCCATCTGTCAGAACTGACGTTTTTTCTAATCCGGTTTAATTTCAACACACGGGAGGTCGCGAGAATCAAAATTCGGCAGTTATTATTAACTGAAAGGGCTAAAGAACGATGCAAGGTGCTCTCTCTCTCTCTCTCTCTCTCTCTCTCTCTCTCTCTCTCTCTCTCTCTCTCTCTCNGCTGCCGAAAAACTCTTTTAAATATTCTTACTTTTTATGCCACCGCAGAATTCTTGAATTTTAAATTCTAGCCTAAATATAAATGGATTTTGATAATATTATATCGCAAAGTTCCAACAATAATAATAAACAATATGGGAAAGAGGGAAAATTATACCAAATGAAAAATCTGTATAATATTATGCTTTTCTTCATTTTTTGCTATTCTTCTTCTTTCTTATTGTGTATAGTTATGTTATTATATTGTAACTTTTTTCTCTGCCTCGTTCTCTCACAATCTGTATTTGTGTAATTCTCTCTCTCTCACTCTCTCCTGTCCCTCTCTCTCTCCCTCCCTCTCTCTCTCTCTCTCTCTCTCTCTCTCTCTCTCTCCTCTCTCCTCTCTCTCTCACCCCCTCTCTCCCTCACTCCCTCTCTCTCGCTCTCTCTCTCCCTCTCTCCCTCTCTCTCGCTCTCACTCTCTCTCTCTCATGTAAGAACGTTCGAGTTAATTAATGTTAGTTAATTGTAAGTTAATTAACTTTCTTTCAGATACCTTCAATAATCTGTTAGATTGCTATGGCATTAGAAAATAATTGTTGTTGTTGTGGTCTTCTGAAGACAACTCATGGAATATAGTTTTGTTTCATCATTTGTAATTAATTGTTAAAATATTTCACTATAAAATTGGCATTTTTCGTTGTTTTATTGTTTATTTAATCTGTTCGATGAAAACAAAAAATTATTAATAATACCTAATAAAAGAAAATGTAATGGGGTCTGAAGTGTCTGAATGTTTCATTCTAACCAAAGGCGGTTTCATGATTAAGCAATCGTAATTTGTTACGATTTATTTTTTATTTTATTTTTCTCACTACTATTGGATAAAAGAAAATGTTCTATATAAATAGCATTTTCAGTATTTTATTTCAGTATTCTTTAACATAGTAGGGAATCCAAATCGACAACTCCTTGGATTTTCTGATTGAAGCGTTAACAACCTGATTTGCTGGCCTTTGCAGATTGCCGATTTTTGATTTATTTAAACTTGCTTTTATGAAAATACTATCATCGGCCGATTACGGCATGACTGGGATTGTTGGAGAGGAATACAGGTTTGCAGGGACCCTTCCCGTGCTTGCTCCATAGCCTTTCCCGCCTAAAACGTTGAAACGTTCGGAATTTCTGCCCACTCCCACCAGGACCGGGATGTTTTAAATACCAACCTGTTGTGCTGGTAAGAGTGATGCAATCTCCGATGAAGATACAGTAACAAATTGGCTCCAGTTCAATTTAATGAACCTCCAGCCGCTCCGAATCAGAACCTCGCTAGTGAAAAAGTCTTTAATTGTTCCTCGACTCATTCATTTTTCCGGCTAAAGGAAACACGACCTATTTTGGAATTTGTCGATTTCAAAATAATTAAGGAATTTTATGTAAATTAACATGTTACCCCTGTTTGTTAACTATAACTATAGGACGTATAGTTGCTCATTCAATAAGGGGCTCTATGTCTATCAGGTTATTAAGAGCGTGAACGCTTCTGAGGAACGAAAGCTATAAAGCAGGATCTAACTGTTGACCGACATTAAAAAAAAAAGATATTTAGAGTCATTAGACACCGACTCACAGGGGCCGATATTAGAGGATATAGACAAAATCGAACCGTCTATTAAAACCGTCAATTGCTAGCAAAGTTTATTCTTTAGGTAGCAATATTAGGGCTACCTATATCTCAGGGCTATATGTTTACTTTTAAATTTTGTTTCGGCGAAAATAACGTTGGTATCTCAAAATATTTAGGACAGTTTTTTTTTCAATTTGTTATTAAATTTCTTTCATAATAAATTTTTATGACAGTACATTAAATGGATTACTCAAAAGTACTCCTGATTTTCACTGAGCTTTTTATCTCATTACATAGGCGATATCTTGGACTAACTACGTTTAAAAAATCTCAACCAGATCTGTCACGTATCAAAATTTAATGAAAAGAGTTTTCTAATTTTTGTTTACAACCGCTATATGTTATCATTCATACTTTTTTAGTTTACAATACAATTTTGCTTGATGTATATGTGTGGCAAAATTGGTGAACAAATCTTTTGTTCAAAAATACCACCGAGTTTTTTAGCCCATTTTGTAGATGACATTTTGGGCTAACTGCGGTCAAAAAATCTTAAGTAGATCAACCCCGTGTCAGACGATTTTATGAAAAGAATATTGCAGTTTCATCTAAAAAGCGGTTGTGAACTAAAGTGGACAATTTTTTCAAAAAACTTTAGATGTGAGGCAGATCTGGTTGAGATTACTTTTAAACAAAGTTAGTTCTAGATATCGCCTACAAAATGTGATAAAAAGCTCGGTGGAACTCGGTGGTACTTCTGACCATGGCGTAAACAATAATTAAGGAGGCTTACTAGCTCGGTTATCCTATAGAGAAATTGATGTTTTCTCTAAACCTAGTCACACGATTTAAAATCTACATATTGTAAAACCATTATATTTAGTGGAAATGATAAATGATGGAGTGAGTGTGGTGTTCAATCCTTTTTAAAAAGATAGTTCCTACTCACAGTAAGTTGTTTTGCAACAAACCGGATTTCGAGCCTTTTAGCTCATCGTCAGGTTGAAGGACTTCCACAACCTGATGATGAGCTAAAATGCTCGAAATCCGGATCGTTACAAAACAACTTACTGTGAGTAGGAACTATCTTTTTAGAAAGCATTATATTTAGTGGTCTGATTGTCCAAATTACTTCTTTCAATTAATCTTTTTATATAAGGACTTGGTTGAAATGAAAAAGTTATTTTGTAAAACGTTCACAATTGTTTATTATACAACATATACAGAAGACAGAATTTTATTGTAAACAGAAGAGCATTAGCTGGTATGAATGTAAATAATTAGCAGTTGTAAATAAAAAAATGGAATATTACTTTCATTATAACTTTTGATAAAGACAACGGTTGAGAGTTTTTAAATGCAGTTAGCCTTAAAATACGAGATAAAAAGTTTGGTGAAACTCCGATTTTTGTGGGGTAATCGATTTAAATTACAATTATTAAAACTTATTATGACAGAAATTAATCAAAATATTTTGAAAAGAAAATAACAAATCGAATAAAAACAACAACTATATACTAAACAAAAAAGGCATTTTGGAATATCAAAGTTAATTTTTTGCTGGAACAAAATTTATAAAAAAAAATGTTATTTACTAAAATGTTAAATGGTAAACTCAGTTAGTTTTTTTTGTTTATATTCATAATATTTTTACAAAAAGCCAAAAAAAAATTTTTTTTTAATAATTAACCGTGTTTGCTCAAAATTCGGGTATGTTACGGAGTGGTATGTCTAGTACCTAAGCTAACTAAAACCAACCAAAACCTAGTCAGATTGGATTCTGGAATTAATATGAAAAAACTAGTAGATGGCATGTTGCATGTTTGTATTTCCTTAATTCATCATGTTTTAAAAAGCTTGATTTACAAATTCAACAGAACAAGTTTACAACCTGAAATAAATAAACCGAAAACACGTTGAATGCATAAACCATCGGTTGAGATATCACACTTTGGACATCTTAGAATATTTATTGTTTTCTTCGTTATAAAAATCAACTAATGTATTCGTCGCGATGCTCGAAGTATGTCAGGGCTGGTTGACATGATGATCGGCTGGAGATCGGTCAAGTAGAAAATAAACGCAATAATAAATATACAATAATAAATAAAGTCAAAAGTAATAAACCTAACCATCCCTAATAACAAAGATTGTCTCGGTGGAGCGAGTTGCGAGGTGTCGGCCCTGACTATGAACGAGTGAAACGCCGCGCTAAGAGAAAGCTATCGATTTTAGCTCTGGAATGCTGTTGTACGCGGTCCTTGATCGGGACGCGGGAGAAATTTCGATTTTTTTACCCTTAAGACGGCTGGAATGCCAATACGGCAATTGGCGGGGAGAAATTCCTAAAATGTATGCT